ACAAATTACACATTTACACATATTATCGATAGTTTTATCTTTTAGGTAATTTGACAATATAATTTTTTTGAAAAATACTTACTAGTGTATAGAAATTAAAGTCTTGTTACTCCGTATATAGTATCTAGGTGGTCTAAACATGTAGACAGACTTTGTCAAGGTTCAAAATCAGGACTTGAAACTAATGAACTCATGTGACAAACAACCTATGATCACAGGGATCAGGAAAGATTTGATTTTGAAATCTAAGTATGGTTATACCCTTTTTCTATCATTTAAAAATGCACTGCAGGTACCAAGCCACCACTAGCCAAACTAAATAAATTCCAGAGTAACTAGGATTGGATCTAATAGTTTACCTGGAATACCCACTTATTATTCCTGTATTTCTCATGGAGCATCAGATTCTTGATCTTCCACAAGTTTCAGCTTGTTCATGATGGATCTGCTTTCGGTCCAATTGGCAAATAAGAAAGCCCACTACTCAGAAGAAAACGTTAATAGGTTTGCTGCAGCAGCCTATTGTACAAGGAAGAATTCAGGATTTAAACTTTATAGATTTTAGTTCGAGATTCTAGCATGACTTATTTGATTTATTGGATTCGAAATTAATTATTTATACTTATTTAATGAACTTTGTAATAGATATGTAGGGTGCGAGTCAAAGTTGTTGGATGCGTCCGAACCCATACCTGACCCTCTACTTCTGCCCCTGATTGTTTACGTAGCAAGTAATACTAATTACCCAGATTTTGCCTTATCAATATTATATAATTTAATCTGCTACCGTTCTGTCTCGTTATCAAATGTATGTAGTTACGAGATCATGCCAAAATGAAAAAAAGAAAAAAGGTTCAGTCTTAAAATACCCGTAGAAATCTGCCAATAACCATGCTGAACTCAACTGGTTGCACCTTAATCTACAGCCACGATAAGGATGCTATTATTAAGCTATGAAAAGTACAACTAACTTATAACGAATAGCGAGCTCATTCTATGTTAAAACGGGCAGCATATCCCCTAATTTTTTTATATTTCCCACGTCATCTATTACAGCAACAACCAATAGTTATATGGAACACAACCAGCACAATACCATGTCGAGCAGCAAGCTCAATTCATGTCTAATAACACTATATTTTGAACTCTTTCCCTCTTATTTATATTCAGTAAATGTTGATAATAACAACACAATATACTCAAGCTATTCCATAAATTTTTCAGCCATAAAACGTTGTAGAACACCTCCCAAACAGTTCAACAATCAATGGCATTACTAACAAGCCTTTCGATCAATATCTCACAAGTTCTAGCTTCAACGACTTAGCCGTAACTTGGATTAACTCAAATACATGTAGAGTTCCTTACCTTCAAACAGATGGAACAATGCGAATTTGAGATTAATTCACCATAAAGTATCCTTCCAATGCGGCCACAAGAACAAGGAAGAGAAATTAGCAAGCACTTCGGATTTCTTGGCACTAGAATCACTTTGAAATACTTAAAATAACATAGGTTTGATACGAAACCCTTAGAAGAATATTTCCAGTATACCACTTAAACAGCTCCCTACATGAGCTGGAATCACACCAAAATAAGCAACCACAAGAATAATAAGAATTTTCAAGATTCGAACCAGGACCTTCAGTTAAAAGTGAAATACTTATGTTACCTTACATGACGCCAACGAATTAATCGAGGCTCCAATGCGGACCAAAATCCATTGAGTGATTGAGAAACAAGAAAAAGATCTTAGCAACAAATAACCATGCTGGTATTATCTGCTTCTCATTGAAACTCATAGTCCGTAGTACCATGAGATGAGAATTATTAATCACGCAATAAATTATATACGTATGAAGTTTTTTATCCAAAAATTTATTGTCCTTCTTCTAACCGTCGCGCAGGGGCCGCCAGACCCTAAAGCAAATGAAGCACTTGCTTTAGGCCCCAAAAATTTAAGGGCCCCAAAATTACTATTTCTCTATATATAGCAGTATATTATTTATATAATTATTTTTTATTATTGATAAATTTATTTTTTTTAATTGTCATATTAATTTTTGATAACTCAATTTCTTCCTCTAAATAATATAATCAAAATAGTTTTCTGTCAATCTTATTTTACGTTTTTACTAAGTTATATTTCTCTCTTCATTAGTTAGTCATGTAACTATATTTGATAATCTAACTTATTATTTATTTTTCTTACATAAATTATACTCTCTCTGTCCCAATTTATATGAAAGAGTTTGATTGGACATGGAGTTTATGAAATAAAGGAAAACTTTTAAAATTTGTAATCTAAAATAAATCATAGAAATTTGTGGGCTAGAAATCATCTCATTAAGGGTAAAAAGAAAAATCTAAAGTTGAATTGTTACCAAATATAAAAAGGGATTAACTAAAAAAAAGGAGTCATATAATTTGGGACAGAGGAAGTATGTTTTCTGGGTTCTCCCATCTTAGTTGTGATGCAATAAAGTTAAATTCATTAAGTTTTTTGTACTGTATTAGATTAAGTTCTCATTTTTTTCAATGCGCCTCGCTTGTCTAATTTTTTTTAAAAACAATGCTCATTAAATAATATATACATAGTCCTCTTAGTAAGGCTTTGCTTTAGGCCTCGGACGATGTTGAGCCGCCCTGCTATCGGGTAACTTTTTCTAAGTATAAAAGTCTAAATTCATGTATATATTTTTTTTATAATTTAAAATTGNAAATTCCTTAGTTAAAAAATGGTTTAATCACTTTAAGCAACATTTTACTGATTCTATTTATCAAAAGGAGTCAAACACGTATTATATATGAAACAGTTTTCAAAAGAAAATACTAAAAATAATAACCCTCTTAAACGTAAAAGTACTTTAGTGACTCCACCCAATATCTTCCTCTGCATAAACAAATAAAAGAACACTAGAACATTCAACGTTTAGAATATATCCAAAAAGAAGAATATTTTAATAATAAAGATACAAGAACCAATATTTGAGATAAACTGAAACTCTACTTTGATCCATTATTTATGTAGATCTGCTACAGTACTCTGTCAGTCGTAATAATTCATATAGTATATATTATTGAGTGCAAAATACTATATCATCATGTACCAGTTCGTGGTTTTGGGCTTTGGGCTGTGGAAACATATTAAAGGTTCATGAGATGAATTCAAAGGTATATATGCACCAGTGGCATATCAATGATACATAGATTTTAAATATTTTACAAAGAAACTAAGACAAGGAAGATAAAAGTAACATTATAAACTAGATGGAAAAAAAATCCAAATGGTCCCCCTTAATTACCCTTGTAAAAAAAAAAAAATTACCCCTGTAAAACTACTAACCAAGTTAGCAGAGGTCTCTGAAATTATTTTTTAACAAAATGCTAAAACTCTAACTACTATTAATTTTACTTTAATAGACTAAACAAACTAATAATATGTATAATATTTACAAAGAAAAAAGAAACATAAGTAGAGTCATAAATCAAACCAAATAATATATGTATAACTGCAAATTAAAGAGATAACTAGGCTTGCTAGTTTACTGGTTATTCTCCTAATAAGACCAGAAACGGACCCAAGATTTGGCTATCGTGTGGCACTATAGCATTCAATATAAATTCATCAGTGCTCATAAAAGTTGGTACGGAAACATATATTAATATCTGACTATTTTTAAGAACATTTATAAGTATATATGACATTTTGTCGGAATTTTCGGATATTGGTGATATCTCTACCTATAATGTGCGACCGCCTTCTGTTTAAGATATTTTCAATTATATATATTATGGAAACTAAAAAAGTGACTAGTTGAAGGGAAGGAAATTAAAAATTGTGTGAATGATGAACCCGATAATCTAAAGGTGCTTTTCTTTCTTGAAAATGAATCTTGATTGACCACACTAAAAATTAATTCGGTGATGACTAAACTCATACTCCCTTGACCAATTGACTTGCCCAAAAGCCACCCCCGATCCCTATTTTTCTTCCAATTTACTACTCTCTATCTATAGAAAGTAGTATTACTCCACTCACCCAACCATGAACCACCCTTCCTATATATAACCCATTCCCCTTCTCAAAATAATGGTTTTGATGTAACAGTTCATTTCCATCCTCACTACAGACGTGCTCTATTTTGTCCACTTTCAGCTGACGCTTATATTATACTTCCTATTTCAATTTAGATAATGTATTTTACTTATCAAAAGTTAATTTGACTAAATTTTGAAGCTAAATTAGATTAGTTTAACTCAATTTAAAATTAAAATTTAGACATTCAAACAGTATATAAAAAGTACTATAAATTACAATTTACTTATATTAATATAATAAAAAATATTTTAAAAGTATCGGCCAAAATTCACACAGTTTGACTGTGTCATCTAAATTATAATCGAGGAGACTCTCAGTGGCGAATGGAAGTAATAGAGAAGCCATATATTATAGCAGCAAAAAATGGTCATCTTGTTGACTTACACTTCTCTTTCCCATGTTCTCTCGTCTGGAATTTTTCTCTTTCCTCGTTCATCCGAAATCGACGGCGAGGATCTTTCTGATTATCTTCTTCATCCTTTGATCAAGAAAAAAGGATTTAGATGTGTGATGCTTTCCAATGATGCAGGACTATATGCCCTATTTTGCACAGAACAGAAATTTCCAACTATCTTTCTCTCTCTCTCATTAATTCAGTGATTCACTTCTCTTAAATACTCCTACGATTATTTAATGTTACTACAGATTTTGTTTCCTTTCTTTATCTCTGAAATGTTAGCACAAAAATTCCTCGAGATTTGTTTACTTAATCTCGGGAATCTTTAACCAATGCAATTACCCATCCAGCTCATTCATCGCAGAATATATGTTCTTCTTCTGAACTTTTCTTTCCATATCAATATACATTACAATCTTTGATTGATCTCTTTCCATCCACTGCTGTAAAAACTATTCTTTTTGACTACCCAAAATCAATTTTTGGGCTGGTTTTTCAACAATGGGTTGTAGGAATTCGAAGCCGAATGTATGCCAAAAATGCCAGACGCACTATTCTCCAGTGCACCGAAGCTACTCAATGTCTAAAGATTTTCCTACTGATACAAACACTAATGGTAGCTTTCATCTGGTCTCTCTCACTTCCTCAACATTAGGATCTTTGAGGCTTGATCCACTGAACAAAAGTATCAAAGATGATCATTCGTTGTTCGAAAAAGGTGGCAGCGATGAAGGGAAGATTTATAAAGAAGAGTTCGAAATGGGGTTGATTGAGGCAAAGACATGGTCCCAAATGATCAATGAGAAAATCCCCAAAGTGGTTCCTAAGACGCCCATTGCAACTCCTCCTGGCGAGCCGGAGGGTGTCAATGTTTGGGAATTGATGAAAGATTTGGAAGATATTGATCCTCTTAAATCGCCTCATCATGTTCGTAGCTTTTCTTTCCATGTCTTTCCAGATCCTTATGATCATCAGCTTACTCCCAGACTGAAATCAAACTATGAAGTAACAGAGTATAGATTGGTGCAACATGGTAAAGACAAACTGGTTGTTTACTTCACAAGCGTAAGAGGGGTGAGGAAAACGTACGAGGATTGTTGTCATGTTCGGATGATTTTGAAGGGATTAGGTGTTAAGATCGACGAAAGAGACGTATCAATGCACGCAGAGTTCAAGGAGGAGTTGAGAGAGTTATTAGGAGAGGAATATAGCGGTAGGGGTTTGCCTAGGGTATTTCTTGGGAGAAAATACATCGGTGGGGTTGATGAAATATGCAGAATGCATGAAGATGGGCAGCTTGAGAAGGTAGTAGAAAGCTGCGAAAAGGCAGAAGATGGAGTTTGCGAGGCCTGTGGAGATATGAGGTTTGTGCCATGTGAAACATGCTATGGGAGTTGTAAAGTATACTATGAAGCAGAGTATGATGAAGAAGATGAGTGTGGCTTCCAACGATGCCCAGATTGTAATGAGAATGGACTAATACGATGTCCAATTTGTTGTGATTAGCTTTCATCAGTTTTATGGTGCTCTCAAGTTCAGGTGCTTGCTGTGGATTCTCACATGACCAGCTTTGTATTACAAAGATAAAGATGAGCGGCCAAGGTTAGCCTAAACTAATAGGTACAAGCGGATCAAACGCGGTTTTTACGGGTTCAACTGAACCCATTGTTTTCCTCTCTATGTATACATATGCAAAAGAACTTAAAACATGTACATAGATCATACGCATTCTAAACCCAGAGACTCTTAGATCTTGAACTCTCTGCTGATGGGCAAGGTTCAAGCACCAAAACTGATACGAATATCAGTTAGCCACCAGATTATCCCACTATCCAGCACAATAGTACCAGTAGTGAAAGAGTAGTAGGACTTATCCAACAACAAGACATGATTGAAAAGGTTCAAACAATGGCTTTTGCAGCATTTGGCAGAAAATGGAGTCCAGTTTGTTTGATGGATTACGAAGCTGTACTAAGCAGAGGCAACTTGACAGTAGTTCTGATAATGCTGTATTCTGGGCCGGGCTCGGGCCTAAATGGGCCAAACGGGCCGGGCTTAACGGGCATGGGCTTAGCGGGCTTGGGTTCTGGCGGTCTCGGGCTTCGTGGGCTCAACGGGTGGAACCAGCCCGTGACGGGCCTAAGCCCATATGGTCCTGGGCTAAACGGGCCGGGCTCGTGGGCTTAACGGGCCTAACGGGCTTTTTTATTTCCGTGTTTTTTTTTAATTTTTTTTGTTTAAGGCAATTTCTTGTAAACCATATCATGGCTATATAAAAAATATATATGTAATATATATGTAGAAATCTAATTATTAAAGTGCTTGACGAAAAAGTAAAATAACAAAACAATAGTAAAACTAAATTGCCATGCATAATAAATTAATAAGAAAGTACAACATGAAGCATAAATACGTCTAATAATTTTAAAATAACACAAATTGTTGAAAAATCTTAAAGACGAATTTGCGGATAAATACCATCAACACAATACGTTATATGCCTCCTTAAAATGTCTGTGGTACACCCTGAACGAAAATTTAAGACTCTTCCACAGTTCTTGCATTTTAATATTTGGCCTTCTTCATTTTCTTCAAGCACTTCATAGTAGTGCGAAACAAATAAGCGCACTCTTTCCGAACGAGGCATGATGTAACTTGAAAATTAAGATTGAGACTTGAAGTCTTGAAAATTGGAGATTGAGAGATTGAAAGAAATTTAGATTGAGAAATGAGTATTGAGTATTGAGTATTGAAATGAAGAAGAGGGAGGGGGGTATGTATAGTGTTAGAGAAGGTAAGTTTTGTAAATTGGAAAAAAAAAATGGTTATTTGTGCAATATGGCCGTTGGTGGTCATTGGGGATGGGGCCCTCATTTTGAATTTTGAAAAATCTTGTTTTGTAGTATATATATATATATAGTATACTAGTATAGTATACTATATATAGTATGTTATGTATATATATTTCCAAATATAATTTCTTATAAT